AAATGTGTTGCAGTGATCGCCTCTGGATAAGGACAGCAAAGAAAGGGGACTCTCACCCCTTGAGAACAAAGAGTTTGAAGCATGTTTGTTTAAAAAAATGTATCTCCCGATGGCTACTCGTTGCTGCTGCTGGAACTGGGTCAGGCATGGGGCAGAACTGCAGTTTAGGTGCACAACTGTCCATACCCACCACGGTACCATAGGCACTGAGCAAAGGAGCAGTAGGGAAAAGTGAGAACCATCCGTTCTGGTGATTTTAGTTATCTTCATAGCATTGCCAGCTTTAGGAGACAAGTAATCAGATGTTTAGGACGTCTCTCATCGTATGTTTTTAAAAGTCTTATTTTTAGTCGAGTAAATGTCGGTGTTCTTTTTCTTTGCTTTTGGGAGTTTGAATCATTCAGTTTTCTATTCAGGTTTTCTCTTTGACAGTGCACAGGAAAATCTCAGGTAAAAAATGACCAAGGGCTGGGCAGAAAGGTTTCCCATGTGCATACATGACAACAGGAGTTGCGCTCTAGAAAAATCAAATGTCACAGGCACTGGAAACTTGGCATAGGATCAGGAAGGAGGCCTACCCTGTTAGATGCTACAAACAGTGGGTATGTTTCTAAAAAGGATCAGGGTGAAATGGTTTTAATAGATACACAGGTTGCTTTGTTGCAACTTTTCTTGGTTAGTCCATGCATTCGCAGATTTTTTTCTGTAGTTTTATATCATTGCATCTGTAGATGACTAAATCACTTAGGGGCAGATTTTTGAAGATATGTGGATGTTTACTTTCTGTCTGTGAGCATCCAGATCCCTTTAAAAAAAAAATAGTAAGAAGAAAAATCCCTTAGGCCAAGCTATTATATTTCTTTCAGTCTTCACAAAACATTATCTTTGTTCTTCCAACTTATGGACTTTTTAAAATGTATTGTATCTCTCATGTGTCAGACCTGAAAATAATGGCCAGTCAAGTACTTTTTCTAATTCAGAAACACCTTTCTTGTTCCCTCTACCCGAGGGAGGCCATGTCACCAGATGGATTTTCAAGGTCATATCCATATTTTGCTCCCAGAACTGTTACTACCAAATATGGGTTTTTTTGATGTTGTCACAGCACATGCACATGGCTGCTATGAAGACAGGCTGTTTGTGGCTACTTGTGTCACACTTACTGTTTGCCCTGTCTCACCTGAGATGGTTTTGATATTTAGGCAGTGTTGGCCAAACCTGAATCCTTGTATTATGATACAAGAAAAGCAGACCAGGACTGATCCACAGTTGTCTTCCAGTATTACCCCTTGTTGCCTGTTGCTCCCCCTGCCCAGCACCTGCCACTGACAGGGAGCCATGGCCATTGGCCATGTCAGTGCCTGGATGTTTCCAACAAGAGGAGTAAGGGAAATGGAGCACAACCTTAGCTAGTACATAAAAAATTGGCAACTTCATCAAATGTTACTTTGATGATTATGTTTGATTGCTGTTTACTTTCTTACCTGGGAGCCGGCTGCGGAAACAGCAGATGGTTATAGGCAGGGTGGGATCTGGAGAAGGCCATGCAAGCTGTTATAATATGAGGCATGGTGAACTTCCCATCAGCAACAGAGACATCTTGACCTCTGGTATTTTATCAGAAGTCTGCTTTTATTTTTCCTAACTAAAAGACAAGGTGCAGTTTTCTTTGGAGAATCCTCAAAATTCAAAAAGGAACTGACACCAGGCATTTCCACTCCAATAAGCACAGGTACCAGGCCAACATTGGTCAGCATATGGGCAGCTCTTCAGATCGAAGAGCAGTCAAACAAATAGGCTAATGGGTTTATAGGTGTGTGTGTGTAGATATGAAACTATGGCAGCTGGAGAGATGGTAAGGGAGGCCAGGTCCCACCTCTTGGTCCTGCACCTTTGTCAGCTCAGACCCAGTGCGCACTAAAAACAGCTGAAGGATTGGAGAGACTGATGTTGAGTGTTTCTGCCTTCTTTTTTTTTTTTTTTTTTTCTGTTAACGGTCTCACATCCCCCTTTTCAAGTGCTTTTCTGCAGCAGCTGGAACTAAAGAGGGGGAGATAGGAGTCATTCATTCCTAGAGCCAGGGCTTGCAGTAGGCATCTGAAAGTGCAAAACTCACTCAAAAGGGACTGGGAGTTGGCCTCACTTGGCAAAACTTGTTCTGTCAGTCTTTGTTATCAACTTGAGCTGCATCAGTATTATCAGTCTCAAAATCTTCATAGGTCCATTAGGTAAAATATTGGTTTTTAATAGAATCAGTGGCAGAACTTGTAATACTGTTAAAACCAGGAGTACTGTGTTCTTGTGTACCAGTCCCATTGCCAAGCCTTGATTCAAACACCTCCCCTTGCCTCCCTTCCCTCAATTCTCTGAGGTCACCACTGCTAATAATAGCAAAACCAAAGCAAAAATGTGATTCTGTTGATTAATAAGAAGATTTGTAAGGTATCCTGATTCTGAATGTATCGCTAGGGACTCAGCAGTGGAGAGCCTTTGTTCCTCAAATGGGAAGACTCTTATGAGTCTGAAGAACACCTGAGCTGGCATTCGGGCCCAGAATATAAATCACAACAATTGTTCGCATTGCTTTATTATAGAGGGAATATTAAAACCCAAAATTTGATTTATTAGCATTGTTGGAAGTGTACAGTCTAACTGAAGTCAAGTTTGGTTTTCTTTTTTTTTTTGGAAGTAACTGTGTTTTGCATCAACAGCAAGTAGATAAAAGCTTTCTGTAACTTGTTTCATTTATCACTAGAGAGCATTTGATACTTCCTCCTTATAAGGTAAAAGCTTTTATAAAACATTAATAAGCTTCCATGGTTATTACTGATTTGTAGTGAATGTCTAAGCAAACTCTTGTAGTCTTTTATATACTGTACATGTATCTTCTTTACTCTTTCTTTACTTTAAGCTTACAGAATCATTCTTTTTTGGTTTTGAGATTACTCGGTCCCAGGAAGACCAAGTGATTAAAAAAAAACCACAAAAGAAGTAAAAAAAAAACAAACAAACAAACCAACCAAAAACAAACCAAACCAAAACCCACATGTTTAACAGTGTGTCCATAGGGCAGAAAAGACCACCAGGCTCCTGGGTTGCACTAGACAGAGCATTACCAGCAGATCAAGGGAGGTGATCCTGCCCCTCTACTCAGTTCTGGTGAGACATATCAGAATGTTGGGTACTGTGCCGGGCTACCCAGTGCAAGAGAAACAGGAACTTACTGCAGCCAGTCCAGCAAAGGGCCACAATGATGATTAAGGGATTGAAGCATCTCTGTGTGGGGAGAGGCTGAGAGAACTGTGACTGTCCTGAACCAGATCATCCAGGTGATCTTACTGGCAAGTATAAATATGTGATGAGGGGAAATAAAGAAGATGGAACCATGCTTCTTAGAGGCAGATAGTGGAAAAGCTTTTCTTTTTTTTTTTTTTTTGATGTGAGGGTGGCCAAGCACTGGTACAGATTGAGCAGAGAGACTGTGGAGTCTCCATCCTTAGAGATACTAAAAATGAGATTGGACACTTGCTATGGGCTCTTGTAGCCCTTGGAATGGATTAGGTGATTTCCAGAGTTCCCTGCCAACCTCAGCTCTTTAACATTTCTGTGGTATCTTTGATGCAGCAAATGCTGAGACTCTTCTACGGTTATAAGGGCACTATCCTGCACATTGAGCAGCTTGGAGTGAGAGCAGATCGTCTGCCTGTTTCTACTGCAGAACCAAGCAGCTATTAAATGATGACTTGTGCACACTAATGACACCAAATGGATTTTTAACATGTAAACGAGAAGAGGAAAGCAGAGTAACTCGTTATTAGCTATGGGTTTGCCTGAAGCAGATTTCCCATGTTAAAGCACTTAAAAGCAAATACAGAATTTATGATGTGTCAGTAGATTTTAAACCTGAATTACGTCCAGTTGCTGTAATGGCTAATAATGCAAATTATCTGAGTCACCCTCAGTGTAAAGCAGTAAATATAATTTGCCCATTCAGACACACTTCTTTTTTTTGTTTTTCCTCTCCCCTTTCCCATTAATATTTTATCTCCCTGAAGAGATGTTTTCCACATATTATGTGCACCAGCATACCGTGCTTGTGGTATTCATGGATGTCATTACAAAGAAGCATGAAGACTGTATCGCTGCTCCACTGCCTGTGATGCTAGCTTGGAAATTGCTTGGAGCAACAACAGCAAGTGTCAACAGGGAGCTGTATTAATTATTTGGAATGTGTCTCATAAGAGGAATCAACTGCTTTTATTGCAGAGCGAATATTACTTGAAACGGGAAGGTTACCCTAACTGTTATCATAATCTATGTGTCATTAACTTTCCATGTTTAGAAAAAGAGATTAACAACCCTGTAAATTGTTACAGTAAATAGATGAATTATAACAAAATGGTTTTATTATAAATAGAAGTTTCTTGATATAGTTACCTTCAAATTGCTGGAGAAGAATTGGGTCTGAGCAACTCTGAAACCGCATGGTGGTGTAGGGAACCAAAAAGGTTCCACTGAGGTGAAAGCAATGCTGAGTTCCAAAAAATGATGTTTGCATCTTCTGCAGGTGGGACAAACTGGTGGAATTGTGCTGCATCCCATGCTTCCTTCAAAAATTGCTGTGACATAGAAATGCTTGCTTCTCTCTTGGAGTAAGATGAACAGATTGAATGGGCTTGTGTGAAATCAGTGGTCTTCTGTAGCATATGGCCTTTCAAGAGAACATGGTGCAACACGTATGTGGTAGTGGTAAAGCAGGTATAACTAAAGTTCAGCAGAGTACCCATGTCTGCAAGGAAAAAGCAGAAGAGATGGGAGCGTTTTCAACTTTTCATCAGATGTCTGCACAACATGGAAGTTCCTTGGGAAAAATGCACAATAGAACAAAATGCTTCAAAACCTGTTTTTAAGCCAGTACCATAAAAATGCTGTGCATTTGATTGTAGCCCTGATAGATCTCTGTAGGAAACAGTGGAACTAAACCACTTATTTGTCCACAGGGCAGGCTCACCATGGGCAGGTTTCCTACATTGCCCCACCGATCCACCTCGATTCGGATCTGGAGAGACCGCCATCCAAGGGTGAGTCAGTGAGACAGCCTCCATTCATGGCATTGTGAACCAGCCATAGGCGTGGGTACATGTCACTCACTTGTTCATAGAACCTCCATTGTAAAGTTATCACCCTCCATCCAAGGACACTCTCAGGGGCAAATTAATTCCTACAAGAGAGATGTATGACAGGCGGCCATGTCCCATATGTCCCATTACATAGCTTTGAACATACCATCACTTCACAAGCTATTTTGCTCTCCCCACTAGTTTACTCTTGCAGGGACAGCATACCTTAGATCCTGCCCTCTGTCCTGCACCTCTCCCTCCTAATGGCAGTACAAAGGCACAGGGAGCTGATGGCAGAATGCAGAAGGGGAGATTTCAGCTGCCCCTTGGATGAGTAAAGGGTACAGAAGGGGTTGTGCAGTGGTCCCAGCCTGGATTCAGTCCTCATCGCTGTTGCTTGAGGTTTTTTCTAGATTCAGTAGAGGATGACTGTAGAGAATGACTCAAATTTTAGGGGAGCTCATTGCCCTTGGGAGTGACGCTAGTAACCAGTATGTATGGAGTAAGTCCAGAATAGCCCTGCTAAGGTAGGTGCCTCTCTTGAATGGCACAAGTAAAGCAATATGAATGTAAGCCCTTGATTTCTCTGCCTCATTTGGAGGATCATCCCCTGGCTGTGCTGTGCTGAGCCCTCGGTGTTTGCCTTTGTGGCCTGGGGAAGAGAGTTTATCCCCAGAGCAAGCATATGTGCTGGTGCAGACTTCTTACACCTCCTTTTGCTCCTTATAGTTAGGTTGTCAATATTCATGTAGGATATCAAAATTACCAGCTTGTTCTTGGAATAGATAATAGCAAAGCTAAAATCAAACAGGAATATGAAGGGATTTCTTGGTCAGCTCCGTAAGTGTATATGAATATCAAACACAGGGAATGTTGCAGAAGAAGAGAAAGGGAGGAAAAGGACAGCCAAAACGTGATAGCATAGAGATGCACTGTAGCTTAGGTTTGTTTTTTTTTCCTTTCTCCCACTCTCCAAAGGGTGCTACAGTGGCAGAAAGGGTACCAAGTTGACCTTTGTAGTGATTGTCATCATTCTGCCACAACACTGTAAGGCTATTGGTGTGTGTCTGTGTCCACACTTGTTTCTCTAACTGCTCTTAATTGAAAAATACAACGTGTTAATGCAAGATTAATCTGGATAGACACACTTGCATTATGGAATATGAAGAAAGCTGTCTTCTCAATCTCACTTTGTTATCCATCTCTAATAATCTGGGAGACAGAAAAACCTTTCTGTTGGTGAATTGCAGCTACAACTGCAAACCCTGTTCCTCCAAATGGCCCAATGGCCTTGTGGGCTAAAGAAAAGCATAGTGTTAGTGCTCTTGGCATGAAAGTCTCCTTCAGTTTTGACTGAGCTTTTCCACCAGCATCCACATAGCTAGGTTCTGTAACTTGATCTTAAATGAACTTGAACTTAAATGTTTACTGAGTTTTTTCCCTTTGTATGTGTGAATGTGTGTTTGCTTAGATGATGCAATAACAAAAACTAAGGAGTTGAGTCTTACTGCACAGCAACCTCAGCATTATCATTCCATAGCAGTTCCTCTTGCATCTCTGCAAGGTGAAACCCCGTGGTGGTGGAACTTGGATGTGAGGATGCCAGATTCGCAGTCTTCTCTCCCAGTCTGGTCTTGCCGTGAGTCAGGCTGGTTGAGTGTAATCTCCTGACAGTCCCCAACCTCTATACAGCTTTGAGTGAACTACCCTGAGATTTGACACATGCATCTGAGATCATCAGCTTCTAAGTCACTTGAAAACCTCCAGTTCTATGGTAAAATTTACTACCTTGCTTTTATAGCAGAGCACTCCAGTAAGGCAGAGACAGTTATGACTTTCCAGGACCTTCTGGCTCTAGCTTGTCATTGATTTGATGAATCAGAGCTTACTTAGAATAGGTCAGTGTAAATCCTTGCCTTGGGGTCTGGAGCAGCCTATGGAAGACTCAAGGATGCTGGAACAGCAGCAGACAAAAAGCTGTGCCTTGCCTTCTCCAAGAGAAAAGAGCTAACGACTAACAAAAACCTTCAGTGATCTGGTGTTCATGAGGGCATAGCTACCTCAGCAAGATAAATGGCAGTGCCACCAGGAGCGGGGCAAAGTGGGTCAGGCAGAACAGTTGCAGTGCTTGCAGAGAAAGTAAAATGGAGCTTTTCCAACACAAACTGCTACGTTAACTACTTTCACCAGGTAGTTAACGTCCACTCCCCTGGTTGACAAATCTTAAAGAAGGAGCTGCTTAGTGTGGAAGGACTCATATTACTGCTGCTGTGCATTGGTAAAAGGGCTTGAATACCCTTGTGTCACTTAATAGGAGAGGGCCAGGGAGGAAGGGATGCCTCTGGAGGCATCAATCTATTAGCTGGTGACTAGGGGCTGTTAAAAATGTGGTAGTTGGTACTGTTTCCTGGGGGAAGAGCAAGGCTTTTCTCTGGCCCTGGCATGTGGGACATGTAGCTTTACTTATTTACCTGCTGCCTCATTTCTAGGCTCAGAATCCAAAATCCATTCGAGTATTGTAATAATATTTTATATTTTAATACTTTTTCTGAGTATGTTAGGCCTACATTTTTTTTGTTTGTTTGGCTGCATTTTCTGACACCTTAGGACATTCTGAGGTCATGTTCCAAGCTTCATCCCATAACCACAGGAGCTGTTTTAAACAAAGAAGTTAAAAATACCTGTCCTGAAGGTCTTGTTGTTCCTTCACAATTCCTGTAGCTGGAACTCTAAAAACAGAGCAGCATTATGACAACCGGCATAAACTACTAATGCTTTTGTCTGCTCCTTTGATGCTCTTCATTTCCCCTCTGCATTCCCCCTCACAGTAAGCTGAACACCAGGAGCAGGTCAATGTTGCACTCAGAGTGGCAAATAGAAGAAGCCACCATACAGTTTTAATTGTAATTAATGGAAATAGAGCCTGGGTAGCGATATAGAAGCATCTTTCCATCCTGTATTATCAAAAAAAATACAGCTTTAGTGCTCCTGTGGGTCTACACAGTTACAATTCTCAGCTGACAGATTTATTTGTAACTGCATCTTCCTTCTCCTTTTTAAAAATTTTATCACTGGTGACATTTACACACATTGTTTATGCATGCAAGGAGTTTCTACCTACCTTTCAGAGTCCTGATGCTAGCAGTGAATAGAGTATGAACTCCAGTAGTTTACTGGCACATCAGTGTCACCGTGCATTACTGGGTAATTGCTCTGAGCCACTGCTCTGTACAACCACACAGTGATGACACTGTACATCACTTAATAGAAATGAAGCTCTGAATCAGCATTTTTCATGAAGATACTTCTTATTCCCCACTCCCTTTTTAATTTGAGGCTGTTTTAGAATTAGTTCCATATATGAAGCACTGTTAGCCATTATTTTTACACCTCCTTGCAGTCCAGGAATCTGGATGTGATTACGTGATTTTTATGCAAGTGTTTACACCTTCTGTGTACAGAATAATTCCAGGTATAGCTGAGACCTTAGGTTGTGATCTCACAGACTGAAGATTAAGCCTGTGTTTCAGAATGGATCACTGGTTACTGACAATAGCAAGGAGTTTCATAGATGAGAGTGACACTGATACTCTGGCTTAGGAAGGGATTTTATGGAATTATCATATATAGTAATAAATTAAATTTAGCATTTGTACTCAAATTCTACCAGGTACTTAAAAAAACAGTAAAGAAGTGAATTAAACTCACAGAGTATGCAAACTAAAACTATTTATAAAGCTGTATAGAAACAGATTTTAGCATATATGTGGAATCATATTAAACATGAAAGGTATGCCTGGCGTTTAAAGCTGGACAGACTGAGAAACTCTCCTCCCATGTTGAGGTGATGTTTTGCAAAGGTGTCCTTTAAAATTGCTATCTTGGAGATTGATGTGCTCGAAGACAGTACATTTCCAAAATATTAACTGATAAGCAAAACTGTGTATTGGTCCCCAGTTCCCAAAATAAATAACAAATGAAGGAGGCACAGAAAGTTCTACCCCTTCTGTGTAGATTTCACTAGCCAGGGAGGTTATTTTGGCCCCATTTAAGGCACTGTGGGAGATTTTCCTGTAAACCTCAGTTATTAGGTTCATCTTCCATAAACACAGAATCTGGCCCTACTCCTTAGACAGCATGTCAGGGAGGCAGAGAGGTTTTGCTGGCCCTTGATTCTCCATCTTAGTGACATGTTCCTTTGTGCTTTCTTTCTTCAAAACTGGATCCATTCTGCTATTTTTCTCCCCCTTTGCATTTACAGTGTCTGAGGGAGAATCATTCCTGAACATTAGCAGCACTGTTAAATCTTATTACCAAAAATAGAGTAGGTTTTTGTAAGTATGCGTTCTGGATCTTTTTTTTTTCCCCTCCCAGAGGTCCCAGAGAGGGTCGATGGCTTTGCAGATGATATAGGAGATCTGACAGCTGGGCTTATTGCACAGCCCCAGTCCTCCTTCCCAGGTCCAGAGAAAGGGGAGTGCTGGGCAGCGAGGCCCAGTGGCACTCCTTGCCTTAATTCAAGCTGACACACAGGGTCACGTATCCCGTGCTCGACAGGCCCTGAGACACTAGCTTGCCTGCCTCTCCCTCCCCAGATTCAGTGCTATGAGAGAGGTGCTGCACAGGAGTTTCTGCTCCAAGTTCATGTTGGACAGGATCATCCTTATTTCCGGGCTGGGGAAGGCATTTTTCAGCTCAAGAGTCCTTTACACTGCCCCTCTGCTGCTCTCTGAGATCCAGCTTTTACTCACCCTGTTCCTTCCCTTTAGAGTTAGTTACAGCTTTGTGTTTCCAGCTCCTTAAGGCAATATTATTTTCCTGATGTCCTTCATGTGGAAGAGTCCAGGGGAGAGACTAATTCAATACCTTTAAGTAAAAAGGATCATGCACTGGATGCTATTTGTGGTCTCCTGTGGTCAGGACCCTTTTCCGTTTTTCCCTGGGAAAAATGCAATTCTGGG